GAGTGCGGCGCGGGGGGGCACCGGTTCCTGGTGTCCGGTCCCCCCCTCCCCTCCCCTCCCCTCCCCCGCTTCTAACCCCCGTCCGGCTGCAGGGGGGGCACCGGGCGAACGCGGCTTCGACGAGGACGACTCGTTCGACAGCGACAGCACTGCAGCACTGCTGGGGTGAGCACAGCCCAGAGCCAGCTGCCGTGTGGGGGCCCATCACACCCCTCCCCAGAGCCAGCTGCATCTCAGGGCCTCGTTACACCCAGTTCTGACACCTCACCCCAGAGCCAGCCGCACCTCAGGACGCCATTACACCCAGCCCCGATTCCCAGTCCCGGAGCCAGCTGCATTTCGGGTCCCTGTTATGCTGAGCTGTAAATATCCTACCCCGGCATCTGCCACATCTCGGGTCGCTGTTACGCTCAGCTGTAGATACCCCACTGGAGAGCCAGCTGCATTTCAGGTCCCTATTACACCCATCCCTGACACCACCTCTGCTCCCCAGAGCCAGTCACATTTCAGGTCCCCATTACACCCAGCCCCGACATCCCACCCCAGAGCTAGCTGCATTTTAGATTCGCGTTGCACACCCCACCACACGTGGGGCGGGGGGGTGCCCTGTGTTTGACTGGCTGTGGGGTACTGGGGAAGCGGGGTACACGCTAACCCCCGCCCCCAACTCCGGCCCCCCCGCAGCGCCCGGCCCCTTCAGGACGCATCCCCACCCGGCTCGGCCACCGGCCTGGAAGAGCTGTTCCCCCGCTACAGCAGCCTGCGCCTTGGCTCCCCATGCACCCTGGCACAGCCGGAGCCCCCCCGCCAGGTCCTCGAGCAGGAGCGTGCCCGCCGCAGGGTGAGGGGCAGCCGGGCGCCTGGGTTCTTTCCAGCTCCGGGAGCCTGGGGGGGGGCTGGGACCCCGGATGCCTGGGACCACTCCACGCACCCCTCTCGCCAGGCACGTGTCTTGCACCTCATACTGCTGCGGGTCAAGGGGGAGGAGGGGAATTCTTCCAATTCCCCCAGCATTGTCTCCTTCCTCCCCAGCACTGCGAGCGCCAGATCCAGGACCTGCAGGCCCAGATATTGGCGCTGCAGCAGCAGCTGGCCGTGGCCGTGGCCGCTGACCAAAGGAAGGACTCGATGATCGAACAGCTGGACAAGGTGTCGTGGGAAGAGGGGGGAAGGGCTCGGGGATGTGGTCTTGGGTGGGCATGGCCTTTGGGGTGACCCTGGGAGGGAGACATGGGGAGGGTGGGGAGTTCTCAGCCTGTATGGGGTGTGATCTTGGCAGGGGGCACAGCCCTTGATGTGACTGGGGGAGGCGGTCTCAGACTGAATGGGGTGTGATTGTGGGGGGGGTCATAGCCTTCAGGGTGACCCTTGAGGGGCGTTTCTAGGGGCCCCAGATGCCTGGGTTCTCTTGGGGGGGTGGAGCTCAGACACTTGGGTTGTCAGGAGGAGGGTCTCAGGGTGGAGATGACACAGCAGTCCACAGCGTGGGGTGGGGTGGGGACATGTGGCAGTGACACCGCCATGTCCCATGCTCCCCAGACGCTGGCGCAGGTGGCGGAGGGCTGGCGGCGCCAGGATGTGGAGCGCAGCGCGGGGCTGCGACGCCTGCAGGCCACAGCTGAGGCCAGCGCCCTGGCCCTGGATGCAGAGACTCAGGTGGCAGCAGGGCCCGGACACGTGGAGGGTGTGGAGTCATGAGAAGGCAAATGTTTGGGGGTGGGGCAGCAAGCCCTGCCCCCACCCTAAAAACCACCTCCCGACAGCGAGCATCGGAGCTGGCTGGGCAGCTGGAGCGGGTGCAGGCAGTGCTGGAGCGGGCACGGGATGAGGCCACACGGCTGCGCCAGGAGAAGGCTACCTTGGTAGGAGGCTGTAAGCCACGCCCCCTATGCACCCCAGCCTCTATAAGCCCTACCTCCATGATGTTTAGGATTTTCTCTCACAGCATGACTTGGGGTTCCCCTACTGCAGGAGGAGGAGGCAGCAGCACAGGGGCGGAGCCTGGAGGCAGAGCGGGAGCGGCGGCGGGGCCTAGAGGCAGAGCTGGAGCAGGGGCGGGGCCAGCTGGCTGGGCTGGAGGAGCAGCGGAGTCGCGGGGAGGAACGCGAGCGGTGGCTGGACCAGCGGTGCAGCAGCCTGGAGCAGGAGGGCGCCGCCCAGCGCCAGCGCCTGGAGGTGAGACCCCCCAGACCCTTGGTCCCGCCCACCTCCTCAGGGGCCCCCAACCTCCTGCACGGCCCCCCTGTAATGGCACCTTGTCCCAGCAGCCCCTTGGCTTCTAGCCTACAGGGGAGCTGGGGGCCTGGACCCCTGGGTTCTCTTTCCACTGGGGTACAGGCAGCCCGGATGCCTGGGTTCCCCGGGCTCGGGAGGGTGGGGAGGGGGCTGGCAATGTTGCACGACCCTGTCCCCAGGCAGCAGAGCAGCAGGCAGCCCAGGCCCAGGCAGAGTTGGCGGAGGCCCAGGCCGAAGCCCAGCGCCTGGGCACTGAGCTGGATGCGGCCCGGGCTGAGCGTGACACGGCACAGCTGGAGATGAGCCTGCTGCAGGTGAGGGGCAGCCCTGGGGAGTTCCGGGGCAGCCCAGACACCTGGGTTCTCCAGGGTCCGACTGTCCAGTGTGTCTGTGGCAGGCGCGGGGGGCGGCACAGAGGGCACAGCGTGAGGCCGAGCTCCGGGCAGTGTTAGAGCAGGAGGTGACAGAGCGCCTGGGTCGGGCCCACGAGGATGCCCTCCGCCAGCTGGGGGCTGCCCGTGAGGCCCATCGGTGAGGAGACCCCCTGCTCCCCACCACCGCCCCATGCCCCTCGAGGGACCTGGGCACCTGGGTCCCTCCAGCCTTTTGTGGCCGGGAGGATAGGACACCTTATGGAGCTGGTGTTGCAGGAGCTGCAAAGTCTCGTCCCCACACATGTCCCCCTCCACAGAAAGCAGCTGCTGGAGCTGAGCGCGCAGCATGAGCGGGAGCTGGCTGCGCAGCTGGCCCAGAGCCGGGCCGAGCTGGCTGAGCGCGAGGAGCGGGCCCGGCGCCAGGCCCAGGACTACGAAGACAGGTCAGGTCTGGAAGGGGATGTGGTTCAGCAAGTTGTGGCGTCCCTGGGTGGTGCACGGATGGGGGAGTCCCTGCTTGTTCCTGGGCCCGTGTTAATATGCCCTGTGCCCCATGTGTCCTCTCAGGCTGGCGCAACAGGAGGCGCTGACACGGGAGTTGCGGGCCGGGCACTGGCGGCTGGAAGCCCAGCGGGCCGACACAGTGACACGCCTGCGGGCGCTCATGGAGGCACATTGGCACGAGGCCCTGCAGCTCCTGTTGGGCTCCAGCAACATCTCTGCCAGCTCCGTGAGTTGGGCTGTCCTCCCCGCTGCCCCAGGAGGACCCGGGGACCCAGGCATCCAGGCTGCTTGCATGCTAGATTTGGAGACCCCGTCCATATCTCAGGGCTGGAAATGACCCAGGCATCCAGGCTTCCAGCACTTGCTGCTTTAACACCTCAGTCCTGACTTGTTTCTGGGGGGAGGAGGGCGATAGAGCCCAGGCGTCCTGCCCCCCACCCCTCTCCCATCCCTCCCCCACCCCTCCCAGAGTGGGGAGAGAACTTAGACATCCGGGAACACCCCGTTTCCTTTCCAGGGAGAAGACACGGGGGCCCGGGTGGCCTCCCCCAGCCTCCTTTCCGCTCCACGGCCCTCCGCCCCCCACCCCTCAGAGCCTGAGTGTCCCCCAGCTGAGGGCCTCTTGGACCGGCTGCCCCAGCCTGGGCCCCCCAGCCCCCGTGCCAGCCCAGGTCAGTTGGGGGGGGCAGGGGAGGGGTCTTTGTGGCTGCATTTGGCAGTGGGTCTTGGCCAGGCTATGGCACAGGCTGGCCCCTTTTGGACCTTCCCTTTGCTCCCCCAGGCCTGATGGAGCAGCTGTTCCCCGAGGACAAGGGGAGGGGCAGCAGGGGCGACTCCCCCATCCCAAGCAGCCCAGAGAGGGGGCGGGACCCCGATCTGCAGCGCTGCCTGGCCCTGGTGAGATGGGGGAGTGTTGGGGACCATGTGCAAGGGGGTTTAGGCACCGCATGTGCAGAGACAGCTCAGGGCCAGGAGGCTTTAGGGACGCGCCCCCTACTAGCGTGCGTCATCGCAGGCACATTCACCGGCAGAGCACGTCATCATTTTCTTGCGCAGATGGTCGCATGCGCTGGCACGTGCAATTATGTATGGTCATATGTATGTCGTCACAAGCACATGTGATTACATGTGCACACTCAGTCATGAGTATGTGTTGACAGGCATGGGTGCATTAGCACGTGCGATTATGTGTGCACACAGTCGCACATTTTTTCACGCGTTGGCATACGTAATTACATACACGCACTCAGTCACATGTAAGCATCGTTGCACATGCAGTAGCACATGTAATCGCACAGTCACACATGCACATCTGTAGTCTTGTTCTAGCATGTCTAATAGTGTACATGTGTACGGTCACACTAGCATGTGTAATCATGTACACACGAATTCAGTCCCATACTATCTTATGTAACTGTGTATACACACATTCAGTTTCATGTAATTTGTGTAGACGCTCACAGATTCAGTCGTGCAGTAACACCAGTGTGCACATGTGTATGTTGTCAAGGACAGTACATGTAACATACGCACAGGTACAGTTACATGCATTAGCACATGTAATTGTATACACACATTCACAGTTGCATGTAATTGTATACATATACAGTTACCCAGTAGCACGTAATTGCGGACTTGTGCGCATTGTCATGCGCTAGCACATATAATTATGTATGCACAGGCACACACGTCACATGCACTAGTACATGTACTTGTTTACAGGCACACACAATTGCATGTAACTGCATTTATATTCGGTCACACTAGCACGTCATTGTGTACGCACACACAGTTGCACATGCATTCAGTCACGTACTAGGATATGTAATCATGTATACAGTTGCACCCACATGCAGCCACATGGGCTAGCACATGTAGTTCTGCATGTGCACAGTCGTATTTAAAGCCACACATGTGCTAGCATGTATAATCATGTACACACACGGTCACACATGCATTCACCATCTCATGCACATTCTGTATCACATGTACTTGCACATGTAATGGTGCATGCGCATTAAAGACTTTCTGTGGTGGGGAGAGTGGAGGGGGTGTTAGGGACTGTGTGTGTTGGGGGGCGTTGGGTGCTGTGTGTGCCTGTATGCAGGGCCCCTTAGGGACCATGTGCGTGTATGCCAGGCCATTAGGGATTGCGTGCATGGTGTACCCTCTTACCCCCCCCCCTTCTCTCAGCTGCTGGGCTGGTCCCCGGGGGCTCCCCTCACTGGGGGGCCCGAGGGTGGCCTCCAGCCTTCCGCTCCCGCCTGGCCTGGTAAGAGGACGCCCATGGGGGGGCGCTGCAGTGCCCTAGGGGTCTTGGTGCCCCCTCCGCTCACCATGTGCCCCCCAGGTCCTTTTGAGGGTCACCCGAGGGCCCCCCTGGGACCCCCCCCCGCAGTCCGCAAGACCAAGGTGCCTGTCCTTCAGGCTGACCCCGGGCCACGGGGTCCTGGTGAGTTGCCCCATGCCCCCTGCCCCAATGCCAGCAGGGCATGCCATGGCCCGCCCCTCCAGCTTACCCGTTCCCCCCCCCCGGCGCTGTACGTCTCCCCGGACCCTGCCCGCCCGCCCCGGTAAGTACTGTCACCCGCCTGGGTTCAGCCCCCATGGGGGGGGTCCATGCCCAGCTTTGTGGGGGTCTGGGAGCCCAGACATCTGGGTTCTTTTCCATGTGATCCCCCTTTCCCCCCCTGCCCCTGTTCCAGGCTGGAGGTGAAGGCAGAGGGGAACCAGGCCCACCTGGGCTCCTGCAGGGCCGTAGACCCCCGGCTGGCAGAGCCCCCGCGGAAGGAGGTGAGTGGCTTGGGGCATTGTGGGATACTGGAGCTGTTATGTGTTGGGGGGGCGCGGCACGGCACTGGGGTCTTCTAGAGTATCATGAGATACCAATGCTGTTGGGGGTGAGGGTGCCTATGGGCATTGTGGGATACCAGTGCTGTGGGGGGGTGTGACCCAGGGTATTGTGGTATAGCAGTGCCATGGGGGCAGGGGTGCCCCAGGGTACTGTGAGAGAGTGGTGCTGTGGGGGGGTGCCCTAGGGTATTGTGGGATAGAAGTGCTGTGGGGGAGTGGGTGTACCAGGGCATTGTAGGATAGCAGTGATGTTTTGGGGGTGCCCTCGGGCACTGTGGGATAGCAGTGCTGTGGGGCTCGGGGTGCACATGGACATTGTGGGATTAGCAGTACTGTGGGGGAGGGGGTGCCCCAGGGTAGTGTGGTATAGCAGTGCTGTTGTGGGGTGGTGGGCAGGGGGACACACATGGTGGGACGCACTGTCCGGCTGCTCATGGCCGCTCTCCCTCCAGGTGGCTCCAGCCCGTCGTCTCGAGCGAACCCAGGCATTTGGGAAGGCGGGCAGAAAGCCGGCCCCACACGCCCCACCAGGTGCCCGCAGCACCAAGGCAGGGGGTGGCGCCTGGCGATGAGCTGATTGAACTGTGTGATTGAACTCCCGGTGTGACCAGAGCAAGATGTCCGCCTCGTGGGGGTGGGGCCGGGTGGGTTGGCCCGCCCCCTTGTTGCAGGTTTGGCAACCCGCTTCGTTAACGGTTCAACCTCTTCCCTCATTAATGGTTGAAATAAAGTGGTTTTGGGTGTTTGTAGCTGGCCTGGCCCTGACCCTTGTTGGCCCTTTTTGGCCCCAGGCCCTGCCCACTGTCCCCAGGCTCCACCCCTGGCATGCGTCCTCCCCATGCCACCTTGTCTCCCAGACACACTTGTGAAGGCACCCTCCTGTCACGCTCACACTTGTATGTATGCAGTTGCATGCACTTCCGTGCAGTCAGACACATGCTGTGACGCATGTCACGCATGTGCTAGTGCGTGCAATTGTGTACACGCACTGCCATGCATATTTAGTCACGCATGTTGGCATATGCACTGTTGCACATATGCATTTAGTCGCACACACTAGCGCATATAATCGCATACACTGTCATGTACGTGTTCATATGTGCTAGAATGTGTAATGGTGTGCTTATGCTCTGTCAGGCACATTCACAGTCATGCACGCTCTAGCACATGTAATTACATGTGTGCATTCAGTCACATGTACACCAGCATGTGTAATATCACATGCACAGGAATAGTCACATGCGCACTAGCACATGTAACTGCCTGTACTCTGTCTCATGTGCACAGTCACACGGTCAGTGTCACATGCATACAGTGATGCACACACTGGCCCATGTAATCGTGTGCATGCACTCAGTCTTGCATGCAGCTAGCATATGTAATCTCGGAATCACCCATTCAGCCACATGCACGCTAACACATTATTGCATATACATATTCTGTCACACCTACATGTTCGTTCATGTACATACTAGCACATGCAATTGTTTCCAGTCACACACACACATTCAGTCACGCTTGCTTGTGTACTCAGTCACAGTTGCACATATTTAGTCACGCACGCTAGCACATGAAATCAGTCACACTTGTAGTCATACACCCTAGCATGTGTAAGTGCGTGTGCAGTTGCATGTACACATTGTCACATGCTAGCATGTGTAATTTCATGCAGCAACATATGCTAGTACATCACATGCAGTTGCATGTACACTGTCACATATGCCAACCTTTGTCATTGTATGCAGTCGCACATGTATGTAGTCACAAATGCTAGCCATGTAATCGCACATGCAGTTGAGCGTAGTCACACACTAACACATACAGTTGCATGTGCAGCCACACATGCTAGCACCACAATCGTGTGTATACAGTCACATTCATACACATCCACCTGATCTCATCTATGCATAGTCACACTCGTGTATATATATACACACCTGTATTATTACAGTCACATGCATGCGCACAGTGACTCACATGCACGCATACTCCACCCCCTTCCAGGGCCTGGCTCCCGGGACCCCCCCCCAACCCTTCCCCAGGGACCCCACTCAGCCCTGCCCCTGAGGCCACCCCCACACTGCCAGCCCTCCTCTGCTGGGACCTTTCCCTCCCACCCTCACGGGGAGCATCAGAGGACGGGACCCCCATGCCAGGTCATGGGTCATGGAGCCAGGTGAGAGGGGGGCAGGGGGTGACTGCAGGGGGAGGGAAGGGGCTGGGACTCCAGGGTTCTCCCTGCTCTGTGGGGGGCCAGAAGTCTTGGACGGATGTCTAGGTTACTTCCTTGTTGCAGGAGGAGAGCAGGGAAGCTGGGAGTCTGCAGGCAGGGAAGAAGTAGGCGTCCCAGGGTGGGCCTCGCTGCAGCCTGCTCCCCAGGGCCTGGGGATAAGCTGGGCTCACAGCTGTGTTGGTTGCTGAGCAGCTCTGGGCTGGGGGCAGAGGATCAGTGGTGGAGAATGGGGTATGGGGCAGCACATGGAGGGGGTGGGTTTCCTGCCCTGGTTGTTTCGGTCTTAGCAGGGGCAGGGCCGTGCTTGAGGGAGCTGTGAGGCTGGTGAGGGGCCAAAGCCCAGGAGACATGGATGGGTGGGGGAATGGGTGGATGCACAGAGAGCTATTGTGGGGGCATGGATGGAGGGGTGAATGGGTGCAGAAATAGGTGGATGCACAGAGAGCCATTGGGGGAGGATGGATGAATGGATTGATGGGCAGGCAGGTGGGTGGACAGGCAGAGTGCCATGGGGGCAGAGGGACGGACAGGCGGGTGGCACGTGACTCTGTGGGAGGCTGTGCATAGGGTGGTGGAGGGATGTAGCAGGAGGGAGGATTTGGGTGGCCAGTGGTGGAGAAAGGTATGTGCAGCGTGGACAGCCTCTCCAGGGGATCCCCTCGGGGTCTCGGCCTGGCTGCGTCGAGGCAGCCCCCTAGGGGGCTCCCAGCTCCACAGGTCCCTGATTCTGGGCCCCCATGCTCGGGGGAGCTGGGGTCCTTCATTAGAAACACTGCGAGGGCTTAAGTGGGGGGCGGGGGTGCACAGGGCAAGCCGCCGCCATGGTGACCTGGATGACCTGGCGGGTTGGATGGGGAGCAGGGGGTGGTGCTGAAATACCCCTGCCCCTTTAATGCTCTGAGCTGCAGCCACCTCTGGGGTGGGGTGGGTGGGGCAGGGCTGGTTTCACTGCGGTCCCCCAAAGACTTGCGCATGAGTTTGGGACAGTAAGTGCTGGGTGTGCTCCCTCCAATGTGTGCTGCTGCCCTCCCATCCCCCACCCCAGCAGTGCCAGGGTGCCTCAAACAAGGGGTTAATCCAAGATTATCTCATTTGGGGATTAGGGTAGGAGAGGAGCCTGGTTTATGGAGGCTCAGTCTTGAAAGGCATGATGGGATTGCATGGGATTGAGGCTACAGCCGCTGGGCTCTGGCCTGTGGGGGGGGACCTTCTATCGCTGTGGCAACATGTGGGGGTGGGGGGGAGGATATGTCATGGTGGGAGGGGTTGGTTCTGGGAAATAGGGGGTGGAGCCACCTTCCCAGTGGTCTTGTAATTAGCTGCCCTTAGCAACATGGCTGGTTGCCATGGGGATGTTGCCGGCAGCCAGGTGGCTGCCCTTGGCAACACCAGGCAACACTGCTGCTTATCATGGGGATGCCATTAGCAGCAAGATGTCTGCCCTTAGCAACAAATGACCACCCCTGGCAGTGAGATGTCCCCAAGATGGTGGAAGCCTCTTAGTCTCGGGCTGGGGACAGATCTAGGGAGTCCTGGGTCCCACCTGGAGCCCGGGTGTCCTGACCCCTCACCTCTCTTCCCTGCAGGAGCAGCACCCCATGGTGACCCCGCCAGTGCCTTCCTGCCATGCTGGTGGCACTGCTCAGACCTGAGTCGCCTGCCACCTCCTGAGGAAGTACATAGCGCCCCGGCTGTCTGCTCCCAGCTGCAAGATGGCTGCCCTTGACAGCAAGATCTTTGGCAACAAGAGGGTGATTCATGGCAACCAAGTGGCCACCATTGACAGCAAGATGGCTGATCTTGATGGCAACATGGCTGTCCCTGGCAACAAGAGGGTGACCTTTGGCAACAAGATGGCCGCCCCTGATAGCAAAATGGCGGTCTCAGGTAGCAAGAGGGTGACCTTTTGTGGCCACATAGCCACCATTGGCAGCAAGATGGCTGCCCCTGGCAACAAGAGGGTGGCCTCTGGCAACAAGAGGGGGCCCTTCATCAACAAGATGCTTGTCCTTGATACCAAGATGGCTGCCTCTGGTAATAAGAGGGTGACCTTTGGCTACAAGACAGCTGCCCTTGGTGGCAAGATGGTTGCCCCTGACAACATGAGGGTGACCTTTGGCAATAATATGGCTGCCCTCGGTAACAAAATGGCTGCCCTAAGCCCCTTGCCCCCGGGCCACCGTGGCCTCCTGGCCCCGCTTTGGTGGCCTGGTCTCCTGCTGCTGCTCCTGCTGCCGCCCCTGGGCCATGGGGCCACCTTCAAGGTGGGCGTGGTGGGCCCGTGGAGCTGTGACCCCCTGCTGACCCGGGCCCTGCCCGAGCTGGCGGCCAAGCTGGCTGTGACCCGGCTCAACAAGGACCCGGCTGTCAACCGGGGCTTCTGGTTCGACTACGTGGTGCTGGACGAGGCCTGCCACCCAGCGCAGGCCGTGGCCGGGCTGGTGCGGGCTGAGGGCCGTGCCTCAGGCTTTGTGGGCCCTCTCAACCCGGCGGCCTGTGGCGCGGCAGGGCTGCTGGCTGCCGCCTGGAACAAGCCCCTCTTTTCCTGGGGCTGCCTGCGGGGCGAGCCGTGGCTGCGCGGTCCCGTGGCCTGGCCCCTGCCGCCAGCCCCCGCCGTGCTCTACGCCGTTCTGCGCTTCTTCCGCTGGGCCCATGTGGCCGTGGTCTGCTCCCAGCAGGACCTGTGGCGTGAGGCCGGGCGCGGCCTGGCTGATGCACTCCGGGCCCGGGGGCTGCCCGTGGGCGTTGTGGCCACCATGGAGCCCCACGCTGAGGGTGCCCGCACCGCCCTGCGCCAGGTGCAGGCGGCCGACAAGGTCCGAGGTAGGTGTGTGTGGGGTATGTGTGTGGGGGGATGAACTCTGGGGTTCTCATTGGGAGAGGAGCCTGGACACCGGGGGGGCGGGCAGCAGGGGGTGGACGCAGTTCGCATTGCCCCCCTGGGCCCTGACACTGTCCCCCCCCTCTCCCCCCGCAGTGGTGGTGATGTGCATGCACTCAGTGCTGCTGGGCGGGCAGGACCAGCGCCTCCTGCTGGAGGCAGCAGCTGACCTGGGGCTGGCAGACGGGGGCATGGTCTTTGTGCCCTATGACGCGCTGGCCTACAGCCTGCCCTACCGCGCCGGCCCCTTTGCCACGCTGACCAACAGCTCCAAGCTCCGACGCGCCTACGACGCCGTCCTCACCATCACCATCGACTGCCCCGAGCGCTCCTTCCACGAGGCCTTCCGTGACGCCCAGCGTGGCTATGAGGTGCCCACCCACATCGACCCTGAGCAGGTGGGCTGATTGGGGGATAGGATGGGGATAGGATGGGGATGGAACCGGCCAAAGGGCTGGCTGGAAGGTGGGGGGTGAAAGGGGCCCCATGGGCAGAGATAGACGGTTGGATGGGAGGGAGGTGGATGGTCTGACGTGGACAGGAGGAGATGGATGGGCCAATGGGGAGATGGAAAAGAGATGGATCATGCAGTGGGGAGAGGGGAGGGAGATGGATCATCCAATGGGGAGAGGGGAGGGAGATGGCTGGTCCAATAGGGAGATGGATCATCCAATGGGGACAAGGATTATCCAATGGGGGTGATGGGAGGGAGATGTGTAGTCCAATGGGGAGCTGGGAGATGGCTCATCCATTGGGGGGCTGGGAGGGACACCCCTCATCTAATGGGGTGCCGGGGTGGGGGAGCCAGCTGGTTCAATGAGCCGACGGGAGGGAGAGCCGCTTCCCTCTGACCCTCGCCTCCCTGCCAGGTGCACCCGCTCTTCGGCACCATCTACAACTCCATCTACTTCCTGGCCATGGCGGTGGAGCAGGCACGCCGGGCCGGGCGCTGGGTGATGGGGGCCAGCGTGGTGGCCCACGCCCGTGCCTTCCAGCTGGATGGTTTCTGCCAGCCGGTGGCGGCTGGGGAGGATGGGGCGGCGCACATGGCCTACGTGGTCCTGGACTCGGAGCCCCGCGGCGCCCGTCTCTGGCCCACCTTCCGCCTGGACCTGGGCAGCCCTGGCCTGCGCTACCTGGGCCACCCCATCCACTGGCCCCGTGGCACCGGGCCTGGCACCGACCCTGGCTGCTGGTTCAACGCCAGCGCCCTCTGCTCCGGGGGTGTGTGTGGCCCCCTCTCTCCTCTTCCTGGCAAAGGGCTCTCTTGGAGGCCATATTGGCCGGAGCTCGTGGGTCGGATCTAGCCTGGTCCTGGGGGGTAGCATGTCTCCTCCCCCCTACCCTGCGCCTGACCCCCAGTGCCCTCATCTTCTTTACCGGCAGGTGTGGACCCCACTTTTGTGCTGCTTATGTTCATCCTGGTGTGTGCACTGATCCTGGCAGGAGCAGCCATTGCCTACTACATCCGGTGAGCGCCCAGCATCCCTGGGTGGGCCCAGTGGCTGCCACGCTGAGTCCCCTCCTGCCCTTTGTAGTCAGGGGCTTTGCCGGTGGCCATGCTGAGTCCTGGCTAAAGGTCACATTAGATCCTGTCTCGCCTTGTTGTGGTCAGGTGCTGTGCTGGTAGCCATTTTGGGTCCTAGCTAGCAGCTATGGTGGGTCCTGGCTAGCAGCCATATTGGATCCTCTCCTACCCTACTGTGGTTGGGGCCTGTGTCTGCCACCATGTTGAGTCCTGGCTAGTGGCCACATTGGATCCTGTCTTGCCCTATTGTGGTCAGGGGCTCTGCTGATGGCCACATTGGGTCCTAGCTAGCAGCCATGTTGGGCCCTCTTCCACCTTGCTGTAGTCAGGGCCTGTGTAAGTGGTCAAGTTGGGTCCTGGCTAACAGCCATGTTGGATCCTGTTCCACCCTGCTGCAGTTGTGGCCTGTGTCTGCCACCATGTTGGGTCCTACCTAGCAGCCATGTTGGATCCTGTTCCACCCTGCTGCAGTTGGCGACTGCATCTGCCACCATATTGAGTCCTGGCTAGTGGCCATGTTGGATCCTATCCTGCCCTGCTGTGGTCAGGGCCTGTGCTGGTGGCCGTATTGAGTCCTGTCTAGCAGCCATGTTGGGTCCTCTTTCACCCTGCTGTGGTTGAGGCCTTTGTCAGCAGCCATGTTGAGTCCTGACTAGTGGCTATGTTGGATTCTGTCTTCCCCTGTTGTGGTCAGGGGCCGTGCTGGTGGCCATGTTGTGTCCTGGCTAACCACCCCCAGTTAACTGACCTTAGGAGATGGTCCCTCAATTAAATGACCCTTGGGTGGAGCTGCTTGGGGAGCGTGCAGGCATCACATATACAATGGGGGAGCCCAAGGTGTGTCCCCAGTGTACTGCCCCTGTCTTGAACTCACTACTTTGGGGATGGGGTATCTCCCCACTTCGTCCCTCCAGGCGCCGGATCCAGCATGGCCAGCTGATGAAGGGCCCCAACAAAATTGTCCTGACCATGGAGGACCTGACGTTCATCAATACCCAGAGCAGCAAGAAGGTGAGGCCAGCGGGTAGGGCTAGGGGAAGGTCAGAAGTCAGGGGGGTGGGGTAAGGGGGCCAGCCCATTGCAGATGGTAACAGTGGGGTCAGCTGGACCTGTCTTTTGATATCAAAGGTCAGTGACATCAAGTTGGAAGGTCAGGGTGGGCCTTAGGGGTCTGGGCACTGGCACCTGCTCCTTCAGGGTTAAAGGTCAGAGGGGTAGGGCCAAGGGTCATTCCAGTACAAGGTGATGAGGGGAAGTCAACAGTACCTGCTCCCTTGGGGTCAGAGGTGAAGGCCATGGGGGTGGGGGGGGGTCCTCCTGCTCTTCCAGGGTCATAAGTCAGGGTGACATCCTGAGGGGGCAAAAGGTCATGGTGGGGGGAGGCAAGAATGCAGGCCCAGTTCTTACCCCCCTCCCCCAGAAGCTGGATGAGAGCCGGACCAGTCTGGCGGGACGCAGCGCCTCGGACACCAAGAGCGTGAAGAGCTTGGGAGCCACACCTGAGACCACCAACGTGGCTGTCTCCGAGGTACCCACCGTTCCCTGCCTCCTACCCCCTTTCCCTGCCCCTCCCCCCCCAGCTAAGCTGGCTCATGCATGGCTCCAGGACACTGGGCAGAGACACCTCCAGGCACCTCACTTCCCTGCCCACCCCCTCCTGGCCCAGCTAATTGCCCGCTGGGGTGTGGGGGGGAGCTCTGCCCACTGCCCCTTGCCATGCCAGCCCCTCCCTCTCCTCCCTTAGCATAGCTCTCCCCCCACCCCCTGCATTGCCTTAGTGTCCCCCTGCTGTCCTGTGTGCTTCTGACAGCTGCTTCCTGCCCCTCCGTAGGCTGTGGAGAAGCACCCCGGGACCATCCAGGCCCCCCTCTTCCTCCTCCTACTTAGCCACTACGGCCTGGTGGCCTCCTGGCAGGTAAGTGCCCCGGGGTCGCTGTAGAAATGCACCTAACCCACCCCCACGTGCCTCCCTTCCCTCCTCACCCACCACCTGCTCTGGCTTCCTCCCTCCTTCTAGGTGGGCCCCTTGCCCCAACCCATCCCTATCCCCATCCCCATCCCCTCCAAGCCAAGATACATCCCCATCTGGCCAGACAGATCAGAGACCATCTGGCCTAGGAGTTTCCCCATCCCATAACCGGATCCAGCCTTCGTTGACCTCTTTAATGCCTTCAAGTCCATGAGCTGGCGGAAAGGACCAGCCAGATTCAGAAGCCTGAAAATAGTCCAGCGAGGTCCCAAGGCATCTTTGCAGCCAGGCGACTGCCACCATCCTGCCCGGTGGATCAGAGATGAGTCCGCTGGATTTGGAGTCAATTTGGGTTGTGTCGTCAGCCCAGCCATTTTGTTTCGATGGTCATGTGGATCATCGATCATGACCACCATCCTCCTGGAACTGGTGTAGCATGCCAACCAGATGCAGGGCTCTTCAGTCTGGGGGGTTTTTTGGTCGAAAGCCAAAGGATTTGGAACAACCATTATTGACTTTCAATATGCCAACGACCACCCTTGAGCACAGGATCTTTTCAGAGAAGACTACCTAACGTTGGGCCTTTTTCTCAACATTTAGAAGGCTGGAGCACTCTATCACCCTCTTCTGGGCCATGAATGTAACCCCTTCCTCCTCTCAAATTACCATGGAGGGAAAGACCCTAGTGGTCATGGAGTGCTTCCCCTACCTCAGTAGCCATCAGAGAGGGAACATGGATGAGGAGATCATGGTGCCCAAGTGGGAAGTGGCGTTGGCGTGCCTCCATTTATTGTGGTCCAGAAAGATGGCAAGATCCAGGTTGACGAGGCAGTCCCCGTCCCTGCTCTTCTCCACAGGTGAGCTACCATCATCATTGCAAGAGCCTGGAGAGGCCTCCAAAACACCCTGTGCAGCCAACGGGAAGACAGCTGTACAGACATCAGCGCTTGCTGAAGCCAACATCTGTGGATTGGACTCTTAAGTCATCTCAAGACCCATGGTGGAGATCCCCCTCAGGTGGATGGATTGCTGACATTTTGGGATCCACAGCCCTGATCCACACCCTGGATCCCCTTGGGGCCTTCTGCCCAGCGGGGTCTTGCCGTGATCGTGCCTCTGCTCTGTTCCCGCAGCCTCAGGAGCCCTCAGCAACACCTCTCCCCTCGCTCCTCCCCCTGTCCCAGGCTGCCCCCCTCCGTGGAACTGAACCTGTATTGTCTGGCAGGAGCAAGGGTGGGATTGGTGGGTGGGGGAAAGGGAGTGGGGTCTGGTGGGTCATAGCAGGGCAGCCCGGACACCTGGGTTCTCTCCTGCTGACTGCGCACCCTCTGCTCTCTCCCCCCCTTGCAGGGCGACTGGGTCTGGCTTAAGAAGTTCCCCGGAGAGACACACCCAGAGATCCGGCCCGCCACCAAAATGGCCTTCTGCAAGGTAAGGCCAGTGGGATCCCCCTCACTCCTGACCCGCAGACCCCTTCCCCCCCTAGCCTGCCAGTGCCCCTCACTCCTGTCCTGCAACCCCCTGTGCCCCCCAGCTCTGCCAGTGCCCCTCACTCCCAGCCTGCAGCCCCTGCCCTGCTGGTGCCCCTCACTCCCGACCCGCAGCTCCCTGTGCCCCTCAGTGCCAATCACTCCCAATCTGCAGCCCCTTGCCCCCCTCAGCCCTTCTGGTGCCTCTCACTCCCAGCCCACAGCCCCCTGCACTGCTCAGCTCTGTCAGTGACCCTCACTCTCAACCCCACCTCCCTGGCCTTGCTGGGGCCCCTCACTCCCAGCCTGCAGCCCCGCTGAGGCTCCCCTTCCTCCCCCGCACAGCTCCGGGACCTGCGCCACGAGAATGTGAACCTCTTCCTGGGCTTCTTCCATGACTGTGGGGTGCTGGCCGTGGTGTCAGAGCACTGCTCTCGTGGGAGCCTGGAGGACCTGATCCGCAACGAGGACATGAAGCTTGACTGGATGTTCAAGTCCTCCCTGCTCCTCGACCTCATCAAGGTGGGGATTGTAGAGGGTCTGTGGAGGTGGGGCATGAGGGGGCGGGGTCTGATAGATGCTCCACCTCCCCCGGCAGGGCATGAAGTACCTGCACCACCGGGAGGTCATCCACGGGCGCCTGAAGTCACGGAACTGCGTGGTGGATGGGCGCTTCGTGCTCAAAGTCACAGACCATGGCTACAGTGAGCTCCTCGAGGCCCAGAAGGTCCCACGCCAGCCACCCCGGGCCCAAGGTCAGCGTGGGGGCGGGGCCAGCTATGCAAATAGGGGGCGGGGCCAGGAGGGTGGGGCGGGGGCGGGGCCAGGGCTTGAGGGTGTCCCTCCTCTGCCACCCACTGCAGACCTGTTCTGGACAGCGCCGGAGCTGCTGCGCGACCCAGGGCTCCAGCGCCGTGGCACGTTTCGGGGGGACATCTACAGTGTTGCCATCATCATGCAGGAGGTCATCTGCCGCTCCACCCCCTTCTGCATGCTGGACATGGCCCCCAAAGGTGAACTCTGACCCACCCCCAGCCGCCACGGTACCCCTCGCTCCCAACCCACAGGCCCTCCACCACTGTTGTGGTGCCCCTCCCTCCCAGCCTGAAGTCCCTCAACAGTGTGGTGCCCCTCACTGCCAACCTGCAGCCCCCAACATGGCAGTGTCCCCCACTGCCAACCCACAGCCCTCTGCACCTCTGTGGTGCCCCTCACTTCCAACCCGCAGCCCCCTGCACCCCTGCCATGTTGCCCCTCACTCCTGATCTACAGCCCCTACCCACATGGTGCCCCTCACTCCTGACCCACAGTCCCTTCATGGTGTCCCTCACTCCCACGCCGCAACCTCTGCCCCCCTGGTGGTGTCCCTCACTCCCGACCTACAGCCCCCTGTCCTTTGTGGTACTCCTCACTCCTCACCCACAGCCCCCTGCCCCATGGTGGTGCCCCTTACTCCCAACCTGCAGTCCCCAGCCCTCCTCGGCAGGGCCCCTTACTCCCAACCCACAGCCTGCCCCCATGGTGCCCCTCACTCCTGACCCACATCCCTCTGTACCCCCACCATACCCCTCACTCCCACCCCACTGCTTGCAGAGATCATCCGGAAGGTGGAGCGCCCACCCCCGCTGTGCCGGCCGTCGGTGTCCGTGGACCAGGCGCCCATGGAGTGCATCCAGCTGATGAAGCAGTGCTGGAGTGAGCAGCCTGAGCGCCGGCCCACAATCGACCAAATCTTCGACCAGGTGGGCGCCCCCTGCCCCGCCCTGCCAGTGCCCCTCACTCCAACCCACAGCCCCCTGTGTCCCTCAGCCCTACTGGTGCCCCTCACTCCTGACCCTCAGCCCCCTGTGCCTCCAGCTCTGTTGGCTCCCCTGACTCTCAACCCCACCCCCCAGCCCTGTTGGTGCCCCTCACTCCCGACCTTTAGCCACCCATGTTGGGTGTCCCTAAAAAGGGTTCTTGGAGGGGTCACATGAGAACAGCCATCAGAGCATAGCTCAGACCACTCCTCCCCTTCTCTAGCTCTCCTAGATCTTTTTAGAGGTGCAGGGGCCAGACCTGGCCATGGTGTTTGAGGCCTGGAGGCACCATGGGCTTATAAAGGGGGACTGAGATACTTTCTGGCATGGGTTCAGTAGCACCAGGCTGTGCGGTCGTGTCCTGGGGGGAAATAGTAATGGAAAATGAGTTCTGAAGGGACCTCAGGAGGTCACATCTAGTCCAACCCCCTGCTCCAAGCAGGACCAGCCCCAACCGCATCATCCCAGACAAGGGTTTGTCTAGCCGGGTCCAAAGATGGAGACTCCTTCACCTATCTGGGCGGCCTCCCCAGTGTGCAATAGAGGGGAAGAATTGCTGCCCTCCATGCTGGGGTGTTGGTAGGTGGGTCTTTGCGGGAGGGAGGCTCCCAATCTGACTCCTTGTCCCCCTTCAGTTCAAGACCCTCAACAAGGGGCGGAAGACAAACATCATCGACTCGATGCTGCGCATGCTGGAGCAGTACTCCTCCAACCTGGAGGACCTCATCCGGGAGCGCACAGAGGAGCTGGAAATCGAGAAGCAGAAGACAGACAAGCTCCTCACTCAGATGCTTCCCCCGTGAGTGGGGGAAAGGCCGGCATGGGGGTCCCCCTGGGCCGGCGTGGCGGGGACACAGACTGGGCTCCACTATAGGGGTAGAGGAGGCAGAGCCAGGTATGGGGAAGACCAGGTAGCAGATGGTTAATCCTCCAATCCAGCAACCCCCAGCTCAGGGCTGATGTGGGAGCCTGACCCCATGTTCTTCTCCGTGCATGGCAGGTTGGAGGCAGACATCAGGAGGAGGGGGGTGGGTTCCCTTGGGCTGGGACTGGGGCTAAGGCGGGGTTTTAGCCCCCCACTTACCCCCGGGACCACAGGTCGGTGGCAGAAGCGCTGAAGACGGGGGCAGCAGTGGAGCCTGAGTACTTTGAGGAGGTGACACTCTACTTCAGTGACATTGTGGGCTTCACCACCATCTCAGCCATGAGTGAGCCCATTGAGGTGGTTGACCTGCTCAACGATCTTTACAGCCTCTTCGATGCCATCATCGGCTCCCATGACGTCTACAAGGTGCCCAATGGGGGGTTTCTAGGCATGGGGTAGGAGGCAGCGGATGGGTCCGCCCCTGACCCTGTTCCCTGCGGCAGGTGGAGACAATTGGGGACGCCTACATGGTGGCCTCCGGGCTACCCAAGCGCAATGGGAACCGGCACGCGGGCGAGATCGCCAACATGGCCCTGGACATCCTCAGTGCCGTTGGGTCCTTCCGCATGCGCCACATGCCCGAGGTGTCCGTGCGCATCCGCATTGGCCTCCACTCCGGTATGGCATCGGGCATCACCAGAAAGGGCTTTTATGCCACGTCAGGCTGGGCCGATTCTGCTAGCAGTAAAGTCCTGGATAGAGGGTCTGGTGAATTCACTTGGGGCCAGATTTGGGAAGGGATTTTCCTCCCCCTAGGTCAGATTGCTACAGATATGGGAGGGAAGGGGTTTGCCTCGGTGCCTGGCACTACGCCAAGGCCATTGGACATCTGGTGTTCAGAGCCGAATGTGCCCCATTCCCCACAGGGCCTTGCGTGGCTGGAGTGGTAGGGCTGACCATGCCCCGGTACTGCCTTTTCGGGGACACCGTCAACACTGCGTCCCGGATGGAGTCCACTGGCCTGCGTAAGGCACCTGGCAGGGAGGGGAGCTGGGAGGGGAGTAGGATCTGGGGGTGGTTAGGGCAAGGCAGCTGGGAGCCCAGATGCCTGGGTTCTGTGGGAGGGATAGTGGGTCTTGGGGATGGTTGGAGCGCAGGGGCTGGGAGCCTGGACACCTGGGTCCTGGGAGCTCGGTGTTTGGGGCTGGGGCCCTCACCCCGTTTCTCTCCAGCTTACCGGATCCATGTGAGCCTCCGCACAGTACAGATCCTGCGTTTGCTTAATGAGGGCTTCAAGCTGGAAGTTCGGGGCAAGACTGAGCTTAAAGTAATGGTGCCCCTCACTCCCAGCCCACTGTCCCCCTGGCCCTGCTGATGCCCCTCACACCCAACCTACAGCCCCCTGCCCTCCCTCCAGCCCTGCTGGTGCCCCTTACTCCTGACCTGCAGCTCCCCACAACCCTCCCATCTTTCTGTCCCACAGGGCAAGGGCACGGAGGATACGTACTGGCTGGTGGGGCGAGAAGGCTTCCACAAGCCCATCCCGACGCCCCCCGACCTGGTGCCTGGGTAGGAGCTCCCTCACCCGGGGTGGGGAGAGATTGTGGGAGCCTGGATGCCTGGGTTCTCTCCTGGTGCAGGGCAGTGGGAGCGGGGGTCTGGGGACCCTCACTGATGGCGGAGCCCCCCGCACTGCAGGGCGAGCAACCATGGCATCAGCCTGGCGGAGATCCCTGAGGAGCGCCGGAAGAAGCTGGAAAAGGTGCGGCCGGGCTTGGCGAAGTAGGCCAGGCTGCGCGTAGCCAGGCGGAGCCAGGGCAGGTGAGCTGGGCTCTGGAGAGCCAGAGATGTTATACAAATGCATTATTTGAATGTGTTTGCATACATTCGCATATGCACAAGAGGATTGACTTGCTTCCCAGAGAGGCCTGGAGCCAGGTCCCCCGCCTGCCTGTAGCAGGGTGGGGTACTGAGGGCGGGGTGCCCCCACATCTCCACAGACCATAGAGATGTGGCCAGAGCGCCCCCCGCCCTGCTTTGTGCCCTTGTAGCCAGCTCACAGCAGCATCAGAGGTCAGCCTATGGCCCAGAGTCCTCCAGGCCCCCCAAACCATAGAGATGGGGCATAGAGTGTCTTGGGTCCTGGCACCCACCTGACTCGGTCTTCCCTCCGCCAGCTGGAAGAGGCAAGGAGACCTGAGTGGAGGCTCCAGGCACACCCCCCACCATCACACCAGCATGGGATTGGAAACCAAGCAGCCAACCACGGGTGCTGCCTCCTGCCCTGTCCTCCTTTCTATGGACTGTTCCTGCCTTCCCAGGTGCATTGTGGGACATTGGCAGACCTGGAATAGGCTCCTGACTCTGTCCCAGGCCCCCAGGTACATTATGGGATGCTCACCTACCTGGAATAGGCTCCTAAGCAGGGATTATTATTTGTCTGTGGACAAAAATTAGTGGGGTTTTTTTTTAAAGGGCTCGACACTCAGGAAGTGCAACAAGCAACCTTAAAGTGGAAGCTTCTAATTACTGTGTTAGCCGCCCCCCCTGCCCCAGCTGCCATATGGGCAGGGTCAGTGATTATCAGGGGATGGGCTCAAAATACTTGGGGGGTGGGGGGAACAGGGCATCGCTTTTAAAGGGATGTTGCAATTCAATTGTGGACCAAAGGCAACCTCCCTCCTTGAAGGGGTGGCCACCCACAGTAACTGACCCACAGTTGGACGTATTGAGCTGCTATTAAATTCTGCCCGGTTTAAAGGAACGGGTTCTGCTGTGTCAATGCACACCCTCTGTGTCTGTGAATATTTGTTTGGCAGTGGGGGAAAAAAAAGGGAGGATTCTTAAAGGGATAGCTGCGGTCAGTAGAGGCCATTCCCCTGCTACAGAGCCAGGCAAAAACCCCTGCCAATCCCTGTGGTAGGACAGAGGCATCACTACGCCTAGATCAGCCCCGACTGGTGGTTGTTTAACCTCTCCTGGAACCCCTCCAGTGATGAAGAGTCCCCAACTCCCTTGGACGTAGGCATAGCTGTGCCTAGATCATCCCTGACCAGTGGCTGTTCAACATCTTGAACTCTCCGGTAATGGAGAGTCCTCAGCTCCTTCCACCTCTCCTTGTGCAGCTTGCTTTCCATGGCTCTGATCGCCTTTCTCGGCCACCTCTGGACCCTCCTGAGATTTTCCTGTGTTGGATGATCATCCTATGAAGAGCTGGGCTGCTGGGTTTGTCCAGGCTGGTTTGGATGGGACTGATCCGGCCTCTAGCAGGGCTCAGATTGGATGTGACCTCTGCAGGCCCCATCTCTGATTGAATCTGGGGAGGGAAGGAGACCAGGCTAGGTGACCATCAGTGCCGCTGGCTTTAGTCTGGGCTATAGGGAGAGCATGATATGGTGAGGGCAGTTGCCAGGCTAGGCCAGGGATGGGATCTGAGCTGGGGGAGTCAGTTGGAGGCTGGGAGCCAGTGTTGAGTGCCTGTGCCCCGGCTTCCCTGAGGCTCGCTGGGCACCTCCCAGCACAAACCAGCCTTCACGTGTGCATCTTTGGCTGGATCCAGCACCCACTGGCATCACAAAGCAAAAGGAGCTCTCCCGTTCCAGGCAAAGAGCCCTTTTGCCAGGCCAAAAGTCTCTCCTGTCTGCGGGGTCCCGGGGCAGCTCGTTGCAAACCTGAAACCGGACATTTTCTGCAGTCGCTAGGTAGAGATGGATTCCCGGATGGCCCCTGGTGTCATGGCCGCATCGTTTCAGCCTGTGTTGTGTGCACAGACTGTGGCCACAGCCTGGATTTTGGCTGCTTCTCATGCTCCATGCAGCATGGGGCCTCGACCCTGGTGTCCTCATGCTCCGCACTGCAGGACTTTCCATCCTTTGCCCGACTGGGGTGCAGCGAGGGTGTGGATACTGTGGGCATCTGAGCTTTCCATGAGCCTAGGTGGCTCTTTTCATGCTCCCTTTGGGAGCCAGGTCACTGCCAGCTGCCTGGGGTAGAACCATCCTCAGGCACCACAGGGTCACAGCACTGGGACCAGTGGCCGGGAGATCTTTCCCTGATCCAGTCAGTATGGACAGCAGGCTGGAAGAGGTGGTGAATGGCGTCTCAGCATGTGGCCCCCATCCCTGGGGAGCAAATACCCCCCACCGCTGCCTCAGCTGGCCTGAGCCTCTGTCATGGGCTCCCCTCAGCCATTGAACCTGGTTCTGGAGGGTGCAAGGGGGTTGGTGGGCTTGCAGCCCATCTGGGCAGAGGCATGCAAAGTGGGGACAAGTACACTTTGAGGCCACGATGCCCAGAACCAGGATGCATCCTGTGGCGGGCCAGTAGGGGCACTCCTGCTCTGAGCCACCCGCCTCACTGCGCCTGACCACCTACCAGTCTCCCAAGTGCCTCCCCAGGGGTGCTTCACATCTGGCTGACCCCCTTCCTGGAGTACACCCGCAAGCCTGGGGGTACCACTGCCGCCACCCAGGGGTTCTGGTCTGTATTCGGGCCCTGTGCCCCCTGGGGTACACAGGCCTTGTAGACCTTGAGGGTGCTTGACCCACTATGAGAACCTGGGGTGCTTCCTTTAGCCTGAAGCACCAAAAGGTAGCCTCCCTTAGTCAGCTGAGTTAGGGAGTTTGAAGGCATGCCCCCAGTCCCTCTCCCAATGAGTTCACCACACTTGTACAGTGAAGAGCTTTATTGGTTACAGAGGACAGGCTTGGGGAAGGGTACAGCTTAGAGAAATATCAAAGAATAATCTTAGAACAAACAGTGTCACCTAAGTAGTGGTCAGCGCCTGGAGTGACAGGGGTCAAGCCCCTGCCCCTATGCCACGAGGTCAATGCTAACACAATAGAGAGCTTGGCCCACCCCCCCTCACCTGGCCCAGGTCACTAGGCAGAGCTGGTTGCTTAGCAGTTGGCTGACAGACAGGTGAGAGACAATAACAAGAAAAAAAACGCACAAAGGAAGAGACGAAGAAGAGACGAGTATGGAGTTTTTCCACACATCCTGTGATGAGGGCCCGTAGCCTGACACGGCCCCCAGGCTTGTTCACCCCCATCATGTGCCACTGCTTCTCTCAACTGGGGTCTCCTCAGAGATGTATCCCATTTGGGTGGTGTACGCTGAGGCCGGGTCCCTGGATGCCTGGTGGATGAGTCTGGTCTCCTGCCAGAAGCTCTTCCCATCCCACGCTGGGATGGCTGTGCCGGGGTCAACTCTATACTCAGCCAAGTCCTGCAGGGTCACGGCCACGGCGTCTCCCTCGCGCTCCCGGAGCCAGGTCCTGCTCAGCTCCCCAAGGAAATGCCCCATGATGCAGCAGCTCAGGGGGATGTCACTCCCTGCCAGCGCTGGCTTGGGCCAGGAGCGTCCTGACGCCTCCAGATGTGGCCCCACCAGTAAAGAATAGAGAGGAATAATTACTTCCCTCAGCCTGTTGGCAATGCTTCTACTAATGCCGCTTGGGAAGGGCACACTGTTGGCTCGTATCCAGCTTATTGTCTACTGTGACCCCCAGGTCTGGAGTCCTGTGCCCAGTTTTGGGCTCCCCCAACTACAGAAAGGATGTGGACAAGTTGGAGCGAGTCCCTGTGGAGGACAATGAACATGGTTCATGATGTATGAGGAGAGGCTGAGGGAGCTGGACTTATTTAGTCTGGAGACGGAAAGACTCAGGGGGGATTGAATAGCAGCCTTCAACTCCCTGAAGGGTGGCTCAAGAAGCATGGAGCTGGACTGTTCTCTGATGACAGAACAAGGAGCAATGGGCTCAGGCTGCAGCAAGGGAAGTTGAGGTTGGATATGAAGACAAACTTTCTCACGATGAAGTGGGGAAGCACTGGAACAGGTTACCCAGAAAGGTGGTGGCATCTCCATCCTTGGGAGATTTTTAAGACCTGGCTAGACAAAGCCTTGGCTGGGATGATGTAGTTGGGGCTGGTCCTGCTTGGAGCAGGGGGTTGGACTAGATGCAACCGCCTGAGGTCCCTTCTCACCCTCGTTTTCTACGAGTCTATGACTTTAGCCAAGGCAAGAGCTGAAAGACACAGCAGAAACATTGCCCAGAGGTTGGAGATTGCAGGGGAAGTCTGACAGAAGGCCCAGAACAGGAAAGCAGCCTGGAAGGTCTCAAAGAAGAGGCAAATCCTGAAAGAGGGAAGCCTCTCCCCAATCCCTGTAGACCCTCCACAAGCCCCTTGCCCCCTTATCACCTCAGACCTGTGCCAATGTCCCCCCGACAATTTGAGGTGCTTAGGCAGTGGAGATGATAGCTGTGATGGTCTGATGGCCTCTTCCTCACTGAGGAGACACAACCACAGCTGTGGGGCAGGGAGTGCAGGTCACTCCCTTATCCCACAGTGACCCGGCTGCACCAGGAGTAGCAGAAGGTCTAGGATGGGAGGAAGAGGTATTTCTCTATGAGAGGATGCTTAAGGGCTGGGTCACACATCTTTTTCGCCACCTCCTGGGGCCATAAATGCCGATGACAACTCTGCTGATATCACATCTCGGAGGCAGGTGATGATGGTTGGTGTCTTGGGGGCCATTGGTTGGCAGGAGCAAAGGGACCTTCAGGTATCTTTCTGGCATAGGCCCCTCCAGCCAGTTGCCAAAGCCATGGTTGGCGGGGTGACTCCTGAGTCTGGGGGAGGGCACAATTTGTGGGTGGGCCCGGGGGTGGGCCAAAAGCCCCACATCCACTTCTGTGCTGCGGCTTAGTGTCTGTCCCCCCACAAGCACACCACCGGCCCGTATGGCAGAAAAACTGCCCCATGCTGAGCAGTGCCAAGTCGGGGGCCAATCTCAGGGTGGGCACCTGCCCACCTCCCCATACCTCCCATACCAGTCACCTGTGATGGTGGGGACCGGTTTCCTCTCTCAAAGGGATGCAGTTGCTATGTGAATGCCCTTCCCCACCTGCCGTCATGGCCATGGCTCAAGTGGTGCCCAGCAAGAGGTGAGAGAAGGTGGGCTACTCCCCAATGAGCAGGTCAGAGGACTGGCTGGCTGTCAGCCTCTCATCCAATCCTGCCTGGACATCCATGGGGTTGGCAGGATTGGGACCTTCAGGCCTCCAGAGCACCGCAAGAAACTCTCCCACCAACCAGCAACCAGCAAACACGACTGCTGCAATCAAGTGGCACAATTTATTACCAGCATTATTGCCACCATGAATTTTAGGCATTTGTGGTGCAACAAAGGACACGGAGATCTTTGCTTTTGTGCCTCTATAAAGTTTTCTTTTTTTTGGAGGACATGAGGGTGAGGACAGGTGACATGTGTTTCCACTCACAGAGAGCAGCAGAAGGTGCACTGCATGCTGGGATGGTTCTGTGTTCGATACAATAGGAAGGTGAGTGAAGATGGTGGTTGTTGGCAAATGAGTGAATTGGGGCTGGTTGTTGGCAAGTGAATGAATTGAAGATGGTACAAACATGCCAGGACAGCAAAGTGGGGATCACACTGGAAAGAAAATGGCTGGATATGGAGCCAAGAGGGATGAGATCAAGGGGAAGACCCCGCAAAGGTATCTGAAATGGGCAAAGGAGGGTATGAAAACATGAAGCAGACACCAGGCCAGAGCAAAGGAGCAAAAATGGATAGAAAACACGCCCTGAAATGCATGAGAGAGGATACGACCGTCAAGGAGGAGGGAGAAAGAATGGGACGTTTCAGATTAGAAAAACAAGAACCATGTTACCCAGGGAAACCAGGACTTGGTAGTTCCTCAGCATCTGGTCCCGGTAAAGCTCCTTATCTTCATCCTCCAGCAGCTCCCACTCCTCCCGTGTGAAGTACACAGAAACGTCCTCAACGGCCTCTGGGAGCTGCAGTTGCAAGCATTACCCCATCAGTGTCTCCTCCTCCTGATCTTCACAAACCTGAGTCTTCCTCCTCAGTTGATGCAGGTGCTCTGGTAAAGGGCCTGACGTGGACATGGATGGAGCACTACATTTCTCCACTTTAGCTCCTGTCATGCCAGGAGTTGTCATCCAGCAGCTGTTCCCTCCGCGACTATACACTTGGTCTATAAGGAGGGCACTGCCATCGCGATACCACCAGTGGGGATGGCAGACCAGGTGCTCCGAGTGTCCTCTAGGGTAGCTGTTTTTATGGAAGTGACTTGCAAGGGAGAACATCCTGCCTGAGACAGTGACCTGGGGGATTCACCCTTCTCGCCCGCATGTTGGTGGTGTCAGGAGTCTTCCCTTTTTCCCCTTGAAGCTCTGGGAGTATGGGGGGAGTGCCGCAGGCCCCAAATCCCAGATCTACTGCCCCACACAAAACACAGGGACCCCCCCTGCCAGTGACCTACCTGATCTAGGGTGGCTGTAGCCATCCCTGGTGCGTCCGGCCGTGGGGTGGAAACGAAGGGCAGGGGAAGGAGCAGAGTCAGGAAGGGGGAACAAGGGTCCCCAATGGCCTGGGATGGGACGAAGCAGGCAGGACTCAGCGCAAACTCAGCCTGGAAGCAGGGCAGGGGAGAGGGGAAGCAGGGGGCCATTGGTTTTCTGACTCCAGGCACAGAGACGGAGATATTACACCTCACCCAGTGTCTGTTTCCTTTGGGCACATGTCACACCGGGGGGGTTTCGCGATGATGGGGTCCTGCAGATATCAGCAACTCTGGGAATCTGTCCTCGACCCCAGTGGTGCCAGGAGACTGGGATTCACTTCCCAATCCATCAGTGGATCCTGGATTTCCCTCCAGGACTCAGGAGCTCAGTCCTAGCACATGGCTGGCTCATGATTCTGCCTTGGGGCTAGAGGGACCCTGCTGGACTGAGGTGCAGAGCCCCTCCACGTTTTCAGGGTAGGGTCACCACATGTCCGGTTCTCCCCATGTCCCTTTTTTTGGGTCCTCCCATCTCCAGCGCTGCAGCTGCAGCACGGCAGAGGAGGTGCCTGCCCCTCCAGCGGGGGAAGGGGGGTTCTTCAGGGGCAGCAGGGCTGGGGTTGCAGGGAACTGTGGGTAGGGAGTGACAGGCATTGCAGGGCTGGGGGGGCAGGGGGCTGCGGGTTGGGAGCGAGGGACACTGGAAAGGCTGAGTGTGGGCTGTGGCTTGTAGTGAGGGGCATTAAAGGGGGCAGGGGACTGTGGGTCAGGAGCGTGGGGCGCAGGCAGGGCCAGGGGGCTACAGGTTGGGAGTGAGGAGTATCAGCAAGAACAGAAGGGCTGGGGCTGTGGCTTGGGAGTGAGGGGCAGGGCACAGGCATATTACTACCCCCCACAATCATATTACCCCCCCGAACAGGTGTCCTGTTTTGAAACTGGAAATATGGTAACCCTAGTGAGAGGCACCTCAGCTGAGGAGACCCTCACCCTGGGTGCCAGCTGGGGGCCACTGAGGCTGTCTCTTGGGACGCCCCATCTTCAAATGCTCTGTTGAAGCAGCCTTTCGAGGTAGTGCTGGACCCACAGTGGCTGAGACGGGCACTTCCAGTCCCAGCTGATATGGACAGGGTAGCGAGCTCCTCTTGGGGCTCTTCAGGTCTCCCTGATGCTCTGGCGCTTCCCCGCACCTGCTGCTCCATGTTCACACACCGGTACCTTGCTCATGGCTGTGTTCTCTCCCTGCTTTTCATGCACTTCGCCTGGCCCAGGTGTCAGGAATCCCCTCACCCCTGATCTCCCTGGGGATGGTCTCAGCCACTCCAGGTTTACAGGTCCTTCCTCTGGAGGCTGCTCTTCAGCTGTGCACAGGATCCCTATAGCTACCAGAAGAGGAAAAACATCTGCAGGTCTTGCTGAAACATGGATGGATATAGAGATATTGCTCATACAAAGGCTTTGCTGAAGCATAGGCCTGATCGGTGAGCTGGACTGATGCCTGAACTCCTTGCAGAATTAAAACCTGGCTACATGGGCCAGAGGACAGGAGTGGGAGACGGCTGCACAAGAGGGAGAAGCCCAGTACCAGGTGAAGCTGGACCAGGAACCCCCAGAGCAGGATGCGGAGCAAGCCCACAGCACAAGTCAGCTCCAGATAGTTAAGATATGGGTGGAACGTCACACATAATGTGCTTTGACTGCTGTATAAAAGGAGAAATAGAAACAAAGGGGACTGTGTATTGGCCTGATGGGGCCTGTGTAGCCTTGTGCCGATGCCTTGCCACAGGCCTATTCGAGTTAACACTCAGTCTGTCAGGAGCCTGGGGTCGTTCTTGAAGACAAGACCAGTGTTGGGATCTCTTCACGGTGACTTTCTGCCAACTCTGCAGTCCCCGAGACATTGGGCCCTGCCCCACGTTCAAATTACAGCTGGATAGAAACCAGCAATAAAGCTGTTGCACATTGTCAAGTGCTAACTTTGTAGCTGGTTGGCTCTTTTTATAGCTGGGTGGACATTTTTTATGGTGTCCAAAGGTATAGGTGGCCGCTCTCCATTTACTGCCTGATTGGCCAGTGAGTTGTGTGATAATGACTTGGCACGTGCAGCTGGTCTCAATTTATTGCGTGATTTGCCTGTGAATTGTGTGATAGTGACTTGGCACATGTGGCCAGTTTCAGTTTACTGGGTAATTAGCTAATGAATTGAGCAATATATGTAATGCGTCACAGGTGTCATTGACACGGGCAACACATTAATAACACCTGGCAAGGACTGAGATGATGACCTGGGTTAGTTCTTAGGACCACAGCAAAGACAAAGACCTGCTACTCCCCCATGTTGGTGTGTGCCTACATCAGCCCCTGGCCTCAGTGTATGGGAGAGGAGAGTGATGGAAGAGTCAAAGTCCCACAGGCTCCTGCTCTACATTACATATATTACACAATTAACTGGTGAATCGTACAAGAGATTTAGCTGGGCAATACATGCAAAGTCAGACTGGCCACAAGAGCAAAGTAATCATCACACCAGAAACCGGTGAAGCACGCAATAAACACAGACCAGCCCCATGTGCAACATCATATGATCACGTGATACACATGACCCCCATCCCCCAGCTATCAAGAGAGCCAACCCGCTTGAAAAATGTGCAACGTCTCTAGAGCTAGTTTGTAGCCAGGTTTTATTCCAATGTGTAGCAGGGCCTTTCTAATAGACCTTTAGTAGGACTACTAGACTTTTAGTAGGTCTAATAGACCTTTAATAGGAGTCACAGACCTTTAGTAGACTGCATTGGTAGGAGTGCTGTCAACAGATGGAGGGCAATGATTCTTTCCCTTTATTCAGCCCTGGGGAGGCCACATTTGGAGTCCTGTGTTCAGTTTTGAGCCCTCCACTATAGCAAGGATGTGGACAAATTGGACAGAGTCCAGCGGAGGGCAACGAAAATTGTCAGGGGACTGGGGCACATGACAGATGAGAAGAGGCTGAGGGAACTGGGCTTATTAACTCTGCAGAAGAGAAGACTGAGGTGGGGTTTCATAGCAGCCTTCGATTCCCTGCAGGATGGCTCCAAAGAGGATGGAGCTGGGCTGTTCTTAGTGGGGGCAGATGACAGAACAAGGAGCAATGGGCTCAAGTTGTAGCAAGGGAAGCTGAGGTGAGATATGAGGAAGAACTTTCTCCGAGGAGGGTGATGAAGCACTGGAATAGGTTACCCAGTGAAGTGGAGGAGTCTCCATCCTTGGAGGTGTTTAAGACCTGGCAAGACAAAGCCTGGGCTGGGATAATGTAGTTGGGGCTGGTCCTGCTTGGAGCAGGGGGCTGGACTAGATGTGACCTCCTGAGGTCCTTTCCAACCCTCATTTTCTATGATCTTCACAGCATGAAGCTGGAGATGAGGCCCAATGACTGTCTCGTGATTGGAGGGGCAACCATGGTCGTCGCTTCCTGCCAGAGACGCAGTGGGGACCCTAACGCTGCTTCAGGATCCTCATGTGGAGGATGAAGGGGGGGACGAACAGGGCCACTTTCTCTGGGGGGGGTCCTAGGAGGGTGCTGGGTGAACAGGCCTTGTGCTGAATTGATGCCCAACAAAACACAAAGAGCATGGTTTTTAGATGAAAACTGGAAAGGACAGCCGCTGCCTCTCACCTGCCCGTAGCGAAGGGTCTTGCCTGGGGAAGCCACCCATGGGGCTTTCATCAGCCGATGAGTCCCAGGTCTCCTCCGTGCTGGGGGAATCTGCAATGGGACAGAGGCCTGGGCTTAACCAGGAATAAAAACCAGCCCAAAGTCACTAGGAAAACCCCAGTGCCCGGACACCCACACCAGCCCAGTGTAGAGCACAGAGGGCTCCCAGCCGGCATGACTGAGGAGTGACTGGGCCTCTGGCACTGATCAGGACGACCAAACCAGCCCGTGTCAGCCTTGGCGGGGCCTGGCACAGCCACAGAGCTTGCGAAAAAGCTGGTTCAAGCAGAGCAAAGTGGTGGCAGCTTTGTCCGAGCTGATACGGGGCCAGGGACAGTGAGAGGACGGGCAGAGAGAGGGGTGCGGCGAGGCGAGCCGGATGGCTGGGGGTGTCTCTGCAGATGGGGTTTAGAGACATCCCCAGTGGTGAAAACTCAGGGATGAGAGGACCCTCTAAGAGGCCAGGAGCAGCAGCAACCAGCACAGGGAAAACGATGAAAGGCATAAACCAGTTTGGAAACAAAGGGGTGGTGGGATACCGGATTGCTCAGCTACTAGATGGGTGGGCTACTAGACTGCTAGATACTAGATGGGTGGGCTACTAGACTGCTAGATACTAGATGGGTGGGCTACTAGACAGTTGGTTGCTAGACGGCTGAGCTACTAGATGGCTGGGCTATCGGACTGCTGGCTACTAGATGGCTGGGCTACTGGATTACTGGGATACTAGAGAGCTGGCTACTAGACTTCTGGGCGAGTAGATGGCTGGGGTGCTAGAGAGCTGGCTACTAGACAGCTAGGCTAGTAGACTTCTGGGCTACTAGACAGCGGGGCTACTAGACAGCGGGGCTACTACATGGCTGGGCTACGAGACCGTGGGCTAGTAGATGGCTGGGCTACTAGACAGCTGGGTTACTAGACTGCTGGTTAGTAGATGACTGGGCTACTAAATGCCTGACTACTAGACAGCTGAGATACTACATGGCTGGGCTACTAGACTCTCACCTGGCCCCCTGGCACGTTACCTGGCTCCTGACAGGCTGGGAACTCCTCCCTGCGGACATGAAGCAGGTCCCAGCGCCCTGAGACTTCACCCTGTCCTGCCTCCTCCAGGGCTGCGTAGCCAGCGTGGGGCTGTGGCTGCTCCGGCCAGGAGCAGGGGGGTCCCCTCAAGGCCCCGGGTCCCACCACATCTGGCTTCACTGCCATTACTGGAGGGGACAGGAGGCTGATGGCTGGCATCAAACGCAGCTCTGCAGCCATCTGGTCTGCCTGGTGCCAACTGTGCCAGTGTCCAGGCTCCTGGTGACCTGCAGGAAGGAGACAGCGGGGTTTTCTGGTGTGAGGGGCAGCCGGGACCATGACCTGCTGCCAAGGATGTGCAGCCCCTTGGCCAGGGCCACCCGGGGGTCACACCTTGCCCTGAAACAGGGCATAGGGAAGGGGACCCATGTGGTACCAGCTGCTGGTGCCCCTCACTCCCAACCCACAGCCCCCTTCCCTCTCCAGCTCTGCCAGTGCCCCTCACTCACAACCCACAGCTCCTGCCCCCCAGCCCTGCTGGTGCCCCTCACTCCTGACCCGACCCTCAGCCCTCCTGCTCCTCCAGCCAGCAGCCAAGGCCCCAGCAGTTGGGGGAGGGAGAAGGGCAGGAAAAGGGAGTACTCAAGGCAGCATCACATCCTGGCTCCAGCTCCTCCCTTGCCCTGGCAGCAGCTCCTGGGAGGAGGGGGTGGCAGGGAGAGGCAGCCCCAGGACAGGGAGAGCAAAGCAGGGGCAGAGCCCGGCTGGACTGAACTGCACAGACCCCCACCCCCCTTTCCCTCACTTGACACCAGGGGTGCGGACAGCCCAGCTCAGGCACCGCCAGGCAGCCTCTGAGGTCCCCCGGACCCTGGTTCTCATCATGCATTGGTGCAAAGTCCTGCCCTGAGGACAGAGAAATCCCAGGCCCCTGGGCAGGCTGGGGACCACAGCAGTGTTGCAGACAGGGACCTAGAGGGACAGGACAAGAAGGTGACTAGGACTAGGATTAGGGATAGGAATAGGGTTAGGGTTCAGGTTGGGGATAGAAATAGGTTTAGGGTTAGGGTTAGGGATAGGATTAGGATTAGGGATAGGTATTGGGTTAGGGTTAGGGAAGAAGGCTCAGGGCAGCTTGGGCTGCATGGGTAGGAGTGGTGTCAGGACATGGAGCAGTCATCGCTCCCCTCTACTGGCCACCAGGGAGGCCACGTTTGGAGTCCTATGTCCAGCTGTAGGGCCCCCACTGCAGAGAGGAGGGGAGGGAGTCCAGCAGAGGGCAACGAATGTGGTTTCAGAGATGGATGAGATGAGGCTGTGGGATGTAGCCGGGTTTGTCTGAACTAAACTACCCTTTGTCGACCCCAAACCTCCAAGGATGAAGACTCTACCACCTCTCTGGGCAGCCTGTTCCAGCGCTTCACCACCCTCCCAAGGAGAAAGTTCTTCCTAATTTCTAACCTCAACTTTCCTTGCTGCAGCTTGAGCCCATTGCTCCTTGTTCTGTCATCTGAGAACAGTCCAGCTCCATGCTCTTTGGAGCCACCCCTCAGGGAGGTGACGGTTGCTATTCAACCCCCCCTGGGTCTCCTCTCCTCTAGGCCCCTTCAGCCCTGTGCCCTCATCCTCTCCTCACCCAGAGAAGAAGCAGGTCCGCTGGGAAGGCTTCTCTGTTCTCCTGGGGATTTCAGATTCAGAGAAGTCCCAGGGGTTGGGGGTTACTTTTTTTTTATAATAGGTGTGTTTTTTATTAAAGAGCTTAAATGATCTGTAGAAACACAGCAGGCTGCGCAGAGAATACCACAAACAAGAGCAAAGAAGTTGCAGGTCCTTCCACACTGAGAGAAGGAAACAAGATAAAATATGGAGGATATTTTATCTAATCTCGTTTCTTTCCCCTCTTGCTTTTCCAGGCCCTCCAAGGCCCACAAAAGGTCTGGTTCAACCCGGCTCTGAAAGTTTCATGGAGACATTTAAACAGAACCCATCAGAGACCATTTATTCAAATATAAAAAGCAGTCAATGATAAATCTTGAGGATAGGCTAACTAATATCGGATACATTTGGTCATGCACCACTTCTAATATTTTAAGATCAAGCCATAATCTAACGCATTGTTTAATTATAGCTTTTTAGACGTCATAGAGTCAGTGAGGGTGGAAAGGACCTCAGGAGGTCACATCTACTCCAACCCCCTGCTCCGAGCAGGACCAGCCCCAACTAGATCATCCCAGCCAAGGCTTTGTCTAGCTGGATCTTCAAAACCTCAAAGATGGAGACTCCAGCACTGCTCTGGGCAGCCTGTTCCAGTGCTTTATTTACCCTCACGGAGTCATATAATCCTAGAAAATCCAGGTTGGAAGGGACTGCAGGACATCACATCTATTCTGACCCCCTGCTCAAAGCAGGACCAGCACCAACTACATCATCCCAGCCAAGGCTATGTTGAGCCAGGTCTTAAAAAAACCCCAAACCATTGGTGGTGTTTCCTAGCCACACTGGCTGCCCCCTCTGCAAAGATGCACGCTACAGTCACTCAGGCACAAGCTTTAAGCCCTTCTGCTTTACCCCACTTTGCCACTTGTCATTGGTACGTAGATGCGGAGGCCCAGCTTACACAGCCTTTGTTTGTGATAGCAAAAGTCTCTGGATACAGGGTGCATCTACGTGTCTATTGATACTAAATTTAATGTGCATTACCAAAAGTGTACCTCCATTGTGAGGTACTAGGAAGAGGCACATTAGCCTATTTTAATGCGCCTTAGTGACAGCATGCAGGTTTCTTTGTGATGCTCAAATGCACATTAAAATAGGCTAATGCACATTAAAGTGCATGTGTAGATGCGTCCCTAGTGCCCAGGGGCAAAATGGCAAGGTCTTTATCATCACGGATGCATTCATTAAGAAGCCTTGTGCTGACACCTGGATAATAGATGGATAATTACGTGTATGAACAAGTGGGCAGAGTTCATCTTGCATAAAAAGCTCGTATCTTATATGCAGCTCTGTCAATGATTAATGTATGTCTGTAACGTCTAAGGAAATAACACTGTTCTTTTAAGCTGTGGGTGCAGCCAGCTCCGATGGGCCGGGAATGGAAGGAGAGCTCCATGTGCAGGTACATGGCTCATTTCATATTTTGAGGTCGAATTACTGGAATGGGGTACGGAGCGTAGGACGAGAGTATTAAGGGGCAGCTTTAGGCTTTCTGCTGCTTGTCATAGCCCAGTAATTTCTGCGTAGCCAAATGCTGTTGCCCTGCTTCTGAGCTTCAAGCGAAAATGAGAACGTTGTATATTTGTCTAGTTGGCAGCTGGTCTCAAGCAGAGGCCCCAGGGGTTGGTCCTGGGGCTGGTTTTGTTCAATAGCTTCATAAACGATCTGGAAGAGGAGGTGGAGCGCGCCCTCAGCAAGTGCGTGGATAACATGAAGTTGGGGGGTGTAGTAGATATGCTGGAGGGTCAGGCTAGGATTCAAAGAGTGGTGAAGCAGTGGAACAGGCTGCCCAGAGACTCTTCATCCTTGGAGGTTTTCAAGACCCGCCTCAGCAAAGCCTTGGCTGAGATGATGTAGGTGGGGCTGGTCCTGCTTGGAGCAGGGGGTTGGACTAGATGTGACCTCCTGAGGTCCCTTCAGCCCTCGTCTTCCACGATTCGAAAGCAGCGATTCTCAACCAGGGGATCCTGTGATCCTTTAAAGGGTCCAGCGCAAATATTAGCACCGGCAAGTATGCAAACATTTACCCACAATTCAGAAATTTCAGATAGGAATCCAGAGGGTCAAAAACATTCAGTCCTGCTGTGGCCTTTCTGAGGTCTTCACAATGGAAGAATCGCTCTAAGTTTTTTTTCTGTAATCAGGGAACGAGTGAAACCTAAAGCTGGCATTTTCCGACAGAGGCTGGCATCTAGTCTAGAAGGCCCCAGGATGCCTTCAATCTAAAAAGGCTGAGAACCACTAGTTTAAAGAAACTGCAAAGTGCTACAAATTGTCCCTACACCAATTAAGCAGCAATACATAACCGGGGAGTCTTCTTTTCCTCCCAAGAAACTCTAAATAACGTGTCCTCACATTACAAAACCAAACACACCAGAACTGAGTCTCAAAATATTTTTCCCAGTTTTCGCTCCTGATATGTTGCCATTGACTGATGCGTTGTGATCTATAGCAATGTCATCTCTGCCAGATAAAAATGAAAACTGGAGATGAAAAGGCTTCAGACAACATCAGGGACATTGTATTTGTGGAGAAAAAAAATCGGTCTAAGGGCTGGTTCCTACAGCTTACATGTACAAGTGATGTCTCCCTGTTTTTCTTTCTTTTATGTACTCTTTCTTTTCTTTTCTTTTTATATGCTATTTTGAAGAGTTCATTTTTCCTACTTGTTCTAACTACTTCACGAGTACCTTTCCATAAGGTGCCTCTCTTCCTCCTCTCCAAAAGCTGACAGAGAATTAGGGCTCTGACTAACGAACCCGAGCCAGGAGGACAGAAACGAAATCAAAATGAAACGAAATCGAAAGCAATGAGGAAACTTTGGCAGAAAAGCTGGACTTGGACCTGTAGATCACAAGTTTGAATGCAGGCATTAGTTAATAATCCAGCCCGTGGGCAGCTCAGGGTGGGAAGAAAGCTCACACACCTGGATTTCTGCCCTGAAGCTAGCAGACAACACCCCACAAGTCCTGGCCTGAGCTCAGTCGTTCTGTGTCTCTCAGGATAGAAACAGGCGTTGCCCCTGGTTGCCTTTATGCCACCATTTTTATGGTGACACGACGCCAAGCAAACAGGCGTCCACACCCCCCTGCTGCCACACATCCACGGCAGAAATTGTGGCCGTGACAAAAGGTGGTATCAAACTGCACTGTTATTTAGTGACAGACATCTGGTTACTTAATGGAGGGAGAGCACAGGCAGCCCAGAGCTGCCCACGCCCTCCAGGTGCCCTGGGGGCTTGAGGGGCCCGATTCTGCACATCCCAGGAATCCTGGGGAAAAGCCAGGGCTTTCCTGCTTCCTCAAAGTGCCCCCAAGGTCCTCGGATGCATCTCGGTAAAGAGGGAAACCCTTTCCCTGCTAACTGAGATGTGTCCCAGAGATTGTAGAGGTGCTTCTTGGAAACTGGGGAAAGCTGGGTAAGCACTTCCAGGGCTCGAGGGGCCCAAACTTGCCTGGGAATCCTGGAGCGTGCAGGATGGGGTGTCTCAGCCCCCCGGAGAATACATCACCCGCTGACTCACAGCTTCAACTGGCAGGACAGGAGGTGACATGCGTTTCTCCCACTGAAGCAGATCGGCTGGTCCTGCTTTGAGCAGGGGGTTGGATGAGATGTGACCTCCTGAGGTCCCTTCAACCCTCATTTTCTCTGATTCTATGACATGTCCCAGCATAGTTGATGTCACCTCATTTGGTGACATCTGTTGCTACCCTATGGTGCAAGAAACTCCATCCGCCCTGACACAGCACCTCCGAATGACTCCTTTCTCTTCCTGGGATGTTGGGGGTTGAAGCAGAGCAGGGATATTTAGGCCAAATCGCAAGAGAAACTTTCCGATGG